TTGGTTTCTTTCTTTTCTAATCAATTTTACTAAAGGTTTTCAACCTGATCTACCATAAAATTCAAACTATATATATAATAATAATAATCCTCATAAAACACAAAATTATAAATATATCAATGTAGCCCTCGGCCACCATTTTATCTTAATCTTCACACATAGAGAGAGTTGAATCTTCCCACCTCTCTACCTGGGAGAGCTTCCCCTTCCTTGGACTCCCACCCTGAAAAAAGTCACTATGACCTGCCTCGCATACATGCTCCTGCCTCTTCTCTCTGGCAGCTCCCTGTACATATCTTCCTTTCTCACAAATAATGTCTGTTGTTTTCAATGGGTCTGCACTGAATACGATGCCGGGGGCAATAGTATAACAAGATCTGCTAGCACGAGAAGGTTAGGAGGCAGCAGATCTCTGGCTGAGCAGATCCCAGGCTCAGCCCGAGATTTAACTCATGACTTGCTGAGCCAAAGCTGGCCGAACCAAGCCAGTACACGTCCCCCAAAAGGCACAGCAGGGGTGGGACTGGGTAGGGTCTCAAATTTCAGCAGCGCCGTGTGTGACACCAAAATCCAGCACCCCTCTGCCTCTTGTGTTCCATTGTAAATAAAAGTTGTGGTAGAACCCCCAAGGCTCGCGCCCAGTGTGACTGGTCGAGTCACACTCCCCTAAATCCTTCCCTTGGTAGAGGGTGTGGCGATCACACAGGGTCCCCAGACGTTTCACCATCTATTGATCCCTGTGCCACCACTTTATTTCTCGCTGCCACCACCCAGGTCCTACCTGGGACAATACTGAGTCCAGTCAGAGTTAAATTGGAACATAAACTTTTGTTTATTTATTGCAGTTTAACAAGCGTGTGGTTTCATAAACAGTATCAGTCAATTACATTCATGGGGTGCCTATGCAGACCTATAACTTCTGCTACCTGCTCTCACTCACTAAACCACCTCTCCGATATTTACTTGTCTGCCTAGCCCCTAACTGTTCCTGACTCAGCCTATTTTGCTGCACTAACTCAATCTACCCACAAACTCTATCCCAATTCACGCCCACTCCAACCAACCAACCAACTCCCAATGAACTCCTCAACGAACTCCCCCCTTTGCCCCTCCCAGAGCTGGTTTTATAGTCCCACTGACTCCACCCCCCTGGGTCCTGACTGGGCAACCTGTTTAACTATTTCACCTCCAGCACTCTCTCATATGTTAACGTCACAGAGGGGTCCTTAAACTGAATCCTATCTCTGTTCAACTCAGTCATGTGACCTGGAAAAAATGGGTACTGTAAGTCAGAATCAGTTTTAGAGGCTTGCTTTCCCCCTGACATGCTTGCAATCATCACCATAACCATTTATTTGTTTGTTTATGTCTTCTTCTTCTTCTTCTTTGGCGATCACTCATAGCCAAGTAGATTGTCTTCCCTGAACACGGTTTTAAAAGTGAGAACGTAAGTGACTGTGGAGGCCAATTCTGGATCCACACATCCTTCCACAGTGGGGACATAGTTTTCTGGGTGGGAGTTGATCATGGTGAGGGTTTGCCAAGCGTGCCTTCCTCTTAGTGCATTTCTCCCTTTCGTAGTGAAGTTCGAGCATCTTCAAAACCCATGACACCTTTGGCCACGGCTGTTCTCCAATTGGAGTGCTCACAGGCCAGTGTTCCCCAGTTGTCAGTGTTTTAATATTTGCCTTGAGAGAGCCTTTGAAACTCTTTTGTTGACCACCAGCATTAGGCTTTCCATTTTTAAGTTCGGAATAGCATAGTCGCTTTGGAAGACGATAATCAGGCATCCACACAACACGACCAGTTCAACGAAGTTGATGTTGAAGAATCATGGCTTTGACACTGGTGATCTTTGCTTCTTCCAATATTAGTTCACCTGTCTTCCCAAGTGATGCGTTGCCCATCTGACTAGGTTGCCCTAGTCACTCTGGGCAGTGGCAGAGCTTCATGCTCTGGCAAAGGGGACGGAGAGCAAGCGGGGGCGTGGCTGGCACACGTCCCGTGGGTGTGGCGCACCGCGATGGCACTCCACTGGGATCATGGTGCCGGCGCCATGCACTCCCCCTCCCACCTTCCTCCACCAGTGACTCTGGGCGGCTTCCAACAGATTAAAAACATTAAGCACAGTAAAACTGCAAACTTTACTACACAGGGCTGCCTTAAGGTGTCTTCTAAAAGTCAGGTTATTTATTTCCTTGACATCTGACAGGAGGGCATTCTACAGGGTGGGTGCCACTACCAAGAAGGTCCTCTGCCTGGTTCCCTATAACCTCATTTCTCTCAGTGAGGGAACAACCAGGAGGCCCTCGAAGCTGGACCTCACTGAATGATGGGGGTGGAGACACTACTTCAGGTCTACAGAATTGTTCAGCCTTGCTCCTGAATAGAATTTGGATGTGGCAATAACTTTACACCAGCTAAACCTATAGCAGCTTGCTTCACGCCAGCTTCTTGTGTACAGGATTGCTCCCATAGCTGGATAAAACTATCAATATCTATCTATCTTAGTTCTATATGCTGTGAGCACATGTGGAAAGCCAACAATAATTCTATAGGAGGGATGACTAACTAGTGGCTCTCTGGATGTTGTCAGGCTACAATTGGCCCTTGGCCATACTGGCAAGGGATGATGGGAGTTGGAGTTCAGCAAGGGCCACCAGTTCTCCATCTCTAGTCCACACAGCTTTTTCTCAGAGTTACATACATGGATCTCACTAACCCATGGATAATCCAGCTGTATTCATTTCCCGACAGAGCAAAGCCTTCATTAAATATAAAGGAAGTTAACAATGACATTTTAGGACTCAATCATTTTTTAAAATTTTATCCCAGGCAGATAATGTTGCAAGTAAGAAAAGATTATATGTAGGTTTGAACAAGATTTAAATAATCTTCTATATAGAAACAGGAGGAACTGGGAAGGATCTTTGCTACAGTATTCAAACCCATAGTTTACTGCAACGAACCATTATCTATAAGAAGAAGAAGAATAAAAGATTTCTAGCAGGTGGCATAATAATCAGTCAAAACACTGAGGATATTCAGCCTTCCGCTAATTATAAGGTTTCGGCAATGTCGCTTGTGAAAGTCTTCATTGTTTTTGTCAGAAAATGATAAGTAATATTTTCTGCCAGGCCTTCACAATAGATACATTATTAAATTCAAATAAGATTTTGCGAAGGCTATTCACCTTCAATGCTGCTGTTTTCCCCATGCAAGGAAGATGCAGGTTGCATTGTTTATTCAGGCTATATTGACAATGCACTCAGAAATGGTACCAGTCTCCTTCAAATTCTGTGTCTTCCTCTCCACTGCCTACTTCTCTCAGTTGTTTGTCTTCATTTGGTTGTACTGCTAGTTGATTTTTTTTAAAAAAATTAGCTTCCAGTTGTGTGGAGGCAATTTTAGTTGCTCCTTCATAAGTTATTAGAAGTTTGAATGGGTAGCCCCATTGGTACCTAATGCATGGAGTGCTGTGGTATAAATTTTAAGTTCCCACCTATCTTGCGGTGTTGCTGCATAGAGCTATTGGTATGTGTTTATTGTTGAATTTTTTATTCTGATTTTTTTTCTGAAGTTCTGAACTTTTAAAAAAAGTCATTTTTAATTATGAAGAAGTTAAAGCGAACAATGATGTCTTTCTGGTGCTCACAATTTTTGTTGTTGTTTTGGACGTAGTGCTCCCAGTATGGCCTGCTTGTATAATGGCACCAGGAAGCATTCTCTAATGTGTGATTCTCTAAGGATGTGAGACAGAGGTGAAAACCAATCCCCCAGAGTGCTAATTCATGATCCTCTGAATCTGCAGCTCAGCCCTCTTGAGGCTGTTAAAAAAATGAGCGAGATTTCGTTTTCGGGCAAACTAAGCTATTTGGGGGGGGCGAGGATGGCGCTGTGGGTTAAACCACAGAGCCTAGGACTTGCCGATCAGAAGGTCAGCAGTTCAAATCCCCGCAATGGGGTGAGCTCCCGTTGCTCGGTCCCTGGCTCCTGCCAACCTAGCAGTTCGAAAGCACGTCAAAGTGCAAGTAGATAAATAGGTACCACTCTGGCGGGAAGGTAAATGGTGTTTCTGTGTGCTGCTCTGGTTCGCCAGAAGCGGCTTAGTTATGCTGGCCACATGACCCGGAAGCTGTACGCTGGCTCCCTCAGCCAATAAAGGGAGATGAGCACCACAACCCCAGAGTCAGCCACGACTGGACCTAATGGTCAGGGGTCCCTTTACCTTTTAAGCTATTTTTTACCTCTGAAGAAGGAAGGTGCAGCAGGTCAAAATGTCGTCTTTCCTCAGTCATGTCACCTCTCCCTCTGCTCTGAATATCTTATAGCACCATCTGATAAATTTGATCAAACTACCCACCTTCCCATTTTGAATTGTTCCCCCACCAATAGTGCTGAATCTTGGGCTGTAGGCTTGTTTTGAATATGCAACTCAAACCAATAAGAAGTAACTTCTGTCTGCCTCCTTCCATCTTATCTTGGTTCATAATCAGCTTACAGAGCTCAAATGCAGGCTATACATTTAATGCACTATGATACCACTTTAAACAGTCATGGCTTCTCCGTAAGAATTTCGGAAGCTCTAGTTTACTAAAGCTGCTGAGAGTTGTTAGGAGATGCCTACTGTTCCAACAGTTACAGTTCTCAGAGTGGTTTAACTGCCAATCCCTGTTCCCATAGAACCCAGGGAATTGTGAGGGAAATAGAGACCTTCTAACAACTTTCCCCAGTAGTGATGTATGGAAGTGAGAGCTGGATCATAAAGAAGGCTGATCGCTGAAGAATTGAGGCTTTTGAATTATGGTGCTGGAGGAGACTCTTGAGAGTCCCATGGACTGCAAGAAGATCAAACCTATCCATTCTGAAGTAAATCAGCCCTGAGTGCTCACTGGAAGGACAGATCCTGAAGCTGAGGCTCCAATACTTTGGCCACCTCATGAGAAGAGAAGATTCCCTGGAAAAGACCCTGATGTTGGGAAAGATAGAGGGCACAAGGAGAAGGGGACAACAGAGGATGAGATGGCTGGAGAGTGTTATTGAAGCTACCAGCATGAGTTTGACCAAACTGCGGGAGGCAGTGGAAGACAGGAGTGCCTGGCGTGCTCTGGTCCATGGGATCACGAAGAGTCGGACATGACTAAATGACTAAATGATGACAACAACAACAATTCTAACCACACTTGACAAACTGTAGCAAGCTGCAAGTGTTTAAAGTGCCTGGAAACTAACTGAGACCACTGCTTCCATGAGAAAAAATATGTAAGTAGAATTGTGCATCATTAACATACCTATGAAACTCAAATGGTTAACAACACGAGTGGCAAAACAGACCTTTGCGGAACACCAAATCTTGTATTGGAGGCAAAGCAGTCTTTGCTGACCACCACTTTCTGAGACTGTGCTAGCAAAAAGAAATTATTATTATTATTTATTGAATTTATACCCCACCCTATACCAGGAGGTCTCAGGGCAGTTCACAGAACAGAAACGAAGCTTTTTCAGGGTCAACCACATGGTGTAGTAAGTTGTCATGATCCAAATTAGAAAATGCACATTTCCCCCCTTTTGATTCCCCATGGCTTGAAATAGCCTTTGGATATTTGAGCAGCATCAACACCTTCACTGATATACATTGGTCTGTTCCTTGCAGAGATAGGCAATGAAACCAAAAATAGGGTCGTCTCCCCCCTTTATTTGCTCTACTACAGCTTCATTTCCCATTAGAGGGGAAACAATCAACCCAGAAAGATCTTTATTTATCCTCTTTATTCCTTTACTCTGTCCAATACAGGAAACGTATTATTAAGCAATCAAGACTGTGCCGCGGCAATCATAAGGTGATTATGTTCCAACATAACAAGTGGCAAGGTGTTGCCAAGAAAAGCTTTCTCTAGAGAGGTGGTTATCTTCAGAATATGAATTTTTATTAGGGACTGGAATATTGGAGAGGATGGAGGATGGACTGTTTCCTCAGTTCTATTCTCCTGTGATCAACTACTTCTCTGTGTTTCTTCCACTTCTTATGCAAATCCAGCACATGCACAGTTCATGCATCCTTGCAAATAAACAGAACATAGAACACAGATGCTCTATGTTGAGTCAGAACATAGGCCCATCCAGTTCAGTGGACAATTAATTTTACCAATCCTACCTGTGGGCACAGAGGATGGAGAAAAGCATGTACTTTAGAGCACTGGTCTTCAACTGGTGGGTATGGATCCATGAGTGATCAAAGACTGAACCAAGGTGAGTTGCAACAGGAGCACTGCCACCATGCAAATACATGGTGAAAGATTTTTTAAAAAATGGATCCCAAATGCATGGTTGGGTTAAAAGTGGGTCCTGGATCTGAAAAGCTTGAAGATACCTGCTCTACTGGGAAGAGGGATCCCATCCAACTGCTTGCAGGTCACTTTCCAAATTCTTTTAAACTGTGAGAGATCTTGGATCCCATAAGTAAGTGAAGAAGAACAAATACTGCATCATTTCTCATCATAACAACATCCTTCAAAAATGTGGGCTATGTATGACCCATTTCAGGTGTCATGCATTGTGAACTCCAAACAGGAGGGGGGGTCAATATATAGTATATTATTTTAGGAATACATCTTTTAAATTCCAGGCATATAGCATTCTCTGTGCAGGGATACATATAGAGAAAATCTTAACCTCTATTGAATCACCTTGTCCTCCGTGAATGCATGCTTTGGAGAGAAAAACAGACAGGGAAAGGTTTCCCTCCTTCTATCATAACTCTAGAATGCTGAGATGAATGAAGCTGGAGTTTGGAAGATTCAGGACAGACAAGACAAAGTCCGTCTTCAAACAGCACATAGTTAAATTATGGGATTTACTCCCGCAAGTGGGAGTGTGATGCCCACCAAATCTGACAACATTAAGAAGAGGATTAAGCAAATTCTTGGAGGCTAAAGCTGTAAGTGGCTACAAGCCATTGTACTGGGTGTTGCTGTTCTCATGTCCTGCTGTGGGCTTCCCATAAGCATATTTTTGGCCACTCTGAGAACAGGATGATGCCCCAGATGGACCTGGGCTTCATCCAGCAGGCTCATCTTATGTTCTTACGTCCAATCCTCTTTTATTTATGTTTGGGTCAATGGCAATCACCACTTGTTATGGAAGCAAATTCTATAGTCTTTCTATGTGTTACATGAAGCTGTTCTTCTTTTCGTCTGTTCCAAATCTTCTACTGTTCCACTTCAGCTAGCTATCCATCTTATTTCCTATATCTCCAAATGTTGTGACACATTACTTGACAGCTTAGACATATGAAAAGGTTGGTTTAAATATGCATCTTGGTATAAAATGTGTGTTTAATTTTTTTTATAAAAAACTCCCAACAACACAGTTCATATGTTACTAGGGAAATGGAAAGGAGCAGGGTGAGACTATAGGTAAAAACATAGTGGTAGATTTATAGTCTGCAGGGCCCTGGGCAGTCTCTCTCTCTCTCTCTCTCTCTGTGTGTGTGTGTGTGTGTGGAGGAGGGTTGTCAGGATCCTGTCAGTGGCTCTCGGATGGTTGCCCAGGAAAGTATAAAGACAAGGAAAAGAAGAAGAGTTTGGATTTGATATCCCGCTTTATCACTACCCGAAGGAGTCTCAAAGCGGCTAACATTCTCCTTTCCCTTCCTCCCCCACAACAAACACTCTGTGAGGTGTGTGGGGCTGAAAGACTTCAAAGAAGTGGGACTAGCCGAAGGTCACCCAGCAGCTGCATGTGGAGGAGCGGAGACGCGAACCCAGTTCACCAGATTACGACTCTACCGCTCTTAACCACTACACCACACTGGCTCTTACCATCCTTTTTTTATTTCAATCTTTAAAAAGAGAGGCTATAGAACCCAGCCTCTTGGATAATGGTGTTGTCCCAAGTGAATCTCCACCCCCTTCTCTCCCACTTCCTCATTTGTCATTCTCATCATCTCCTCTATGGATGCTGCTACGCCCTCTGTCTTTCAGCTCTTTTGCTCTCCTACTTTTAAGGCTCGCCAGGTTCTGGGAGATGGTGGGTCTGGTCTGGTTTCTAATGACATGTCAGCCAGGTGTTGTTCTGGCTCTCCCAAGATTTCCCAACTTTCCCCCTCTTCTGCCTCTGAGCTGCTACCTCCCTTGAACCCCTGTTGTAAATCTATACTGTCTTCCTCTTCCTCCTCCCTGGAAGGGTCAGGATGAGGAGGCGGTCTCCACCATTCCACCTGTGCCCAATCCCCAACATCGGTATACATTGATCCTCAAGAAATGTGACTATGTCCAAAAACATGGCAGGTCAAAATGCATGAGTTAGTTAATAACATGCATTATCTTTCCCCCTTTACTATTCCCCCTTTACTATATTAAATAGTAGTTTTTGTTTCTGGGGACACGGGTGGCGCTGTGGGTAAAACCTCAGTGCCTAGGACTTGCCGATCGCATGGTCGGCGGTTCGAATCCCCACGGCGGGGTGAGCTCCTGTCTTTCGGTCCCAGCTCCTGCCCACCTAGCAGTTCGAAAGCACTCTTAAGTGCAAGTAGATAAATAGGTACCGCTTTATAAAGGGAAGGTAAACGGCGTTTCCATGTGCTGCACTGGTGCTGGCTCACCAGAGCAGCTTCGTCACGCTGGCCACGTGACCCGGAAGTGTCTCCGGACAGCGCTGGCCCCCGGCCTCTTAAGTGAGATGGGCGCACAACTCTAGAGTCGGACACGACTGGCCCGTACGGGCAGGGGTACCTTTACCTTTTTTAGTTTTTGTTTCTAGTTAACAATATACATATAGGGAGAGGTAGAAAGAAAACAATTCTCTTTTTTTGAAAATGAACTTCATTTAAAGTATGAGTAGGCAAACTAAGGCCCGGGGGCCGGATGTGGCCCCATCACTTTCTCAATCTGGCCCATAGATGGTCCGGGAATCAACATGTTTTTACATGAGTAGAATGTGTTCTTTTATTTAAAATCCATCTCTGCGTTATTTGTGGGGCATAGGAATTTGTTCATTCCCCCCCCCCCAAAAAAATATAGTCCAGCCCCCAACAAGGTCTGAGGGACAGTGGACCGGCCCCCTGCTGAAAAAGTTTGCTACCGCTGATTTAATGGGATAAAATGAATGAAGATACAAAGGGTTTAGTAAAATATTAATTGAACTGAATTTAGGAATGGGATAATTAGAGACGGAGGAAAACTGAAATTATTGACAGACTTGTCTATTCTTAGATGGGGGTTGGAGTCCAAAATGGGTAAAGAAAGACCTAATCCATGTGTCCTTGTCCCCAATTCTCAGGGTTTATTTCCACAACCTCACATTAAGCGCTTGGGCCTCTCACATCAATCTATGGAAATAGAAGGGTTCACTGGAGAATTGCATAACCATGCTTATTACAAAAAAGGGGGAAACATTTGCAGTTCTGGTCTTTCCTCTACCCACGCCTTTCTTTTGGGAAGTGACTAGAGACTGAAGCCTGTCGTTTGGCAGCTGGGCTTGAAAAGCACTTTAATTTTTCATTGGTTCCATCATGCCTTCCCTTTTAACTCATTAGCATGATCCTTTGTAAATGCTCCTGACCTGCTTTCCTTTCCTAGGAGCAAGACATTGCCACAGCTCATCTCATTATTGGGCATCAAATGAATCCCGCTGACGTGAGCCAAGGACTGACTTGTTAGGAGGCAGTGATGCACTCTTGCAGCGGAACAGCACACAAGCTTTTTGATAATTGCTCCCCCCCAACTCCCTAATGCAGAGATCTCCTTCTCAACCCCCCCCCCCCGCTTTATCCTTATTCATGTTACTTTTATAACAGAGTATGGCTGGACTCAAATATTAAAGCGACACGTGACCGGAGTGTTAAACAAGTGGCATTTCATCACATGGCAAAGAATAGTCCAAATAAAAAATTGATGGCACATCACCACTAAGGGTATGCCGCCCCTTCGGCATCTGAGTTTTTGCCTCCCCCCCACCCAGGAGTTCTCATTCCCCACAACTGACCCTCCTCAACCTTCAACCTCCCCACTTTTTATCAGAAGAAGGGCGAGTGTCGCCACCACTGTACGAACGGGACACAGAAAACACACTCTCCACCGTCCTGAGAAAACCCTTTGATGCCCAAGGGAGGAGACCGGCAGTGGTGGCTATCGAGAGGCAATGGGATTGTAACGGTCTGGTCTATGGGTGATCAAAGTCCCGGCTGAGGACGTCAGGACCGGGGGCAAGATGGCGGGGTGGGAGCAGGAATGAGTGTCCAGAAGCTAGGGGTCTGATGGTCAGGAAGCAGGGAGTCATGAAGTCAAGGGTCCGAGGGTCGAGAAGCAAGGAGTCATGAAGTCAAGGGTCTGAGGGTCAAGAAGCAAGGAGTCAAGAAGCCGAGGTCCAAGGATCAGGAAGCAAGAAGCCAAATGCAGCAAGGCAGGAAACGTGTTGCTGTGGCAAAGAGCCAAAGGGAAATGCTGACCTAATATCCCTTCCGGGCTCTAGCCACCAGGTGCAGCGAGTTACCAAGCAGCCTCACCTGTGCGGCCGCACCTTGCCTCTCCAGAACAAACTTAGGAAGGCCCCAGTCCTGCGAAGCCCTACTGGTCCCAGGGCATGTCTCCTGCACGCACTCCTGACAGCGATGGTTCCTCGCAGCAACCTCTCAGAACAAGCTCCTTCCTGAGTTTGATGGCGGCAGCACTGGCAGGGGAAATAGGGACGTACTGGGATCAAATCAGAAGCTGGGGTGGCTTTCGTAATTCCAGGACTGTCCCTGGAGAATCGGGACACTTGGAGGGTATGAAAATGCTGGACGAAGTTATCTGATCCGACAAGCCGATTCACATAAGCACTGTAGAAGGTGATGCACCAATATGCTTTTCAGAACAAATCCTGCTCACCCTGATAAGATCTTTAAGCAGGATGACAATGACAACCTCTGCAAGGTGATGCAAGCAGCCGTTCCTTCAAAACGGGAAGTGCCCAAGGTGAGTGTTTGCTATTGTCATGTTGTCAGGGCTCTGTTTGCTGCGCGCTAACCTTCCCAATCCATTGACAGCATGGCTTTTTTTATGCAGAGCAGCATGTGACAAATTGATTTCTCGACCCTTCCTCGCAACTTTCAGCTGACCTTTAGATGCACAATATGTCACAGACCCAAGAAAAGCTCCTTTGCCTGTGTTATTACCACTCCT